ATATTGCATCCACTAAGAATTATGTCAACATCAAACCGGGAAAATGAACAAAACTTAGAAATCTAATCAAACTGAAGTGCAAAGTTTTCAAAACTGCAGTCAATTCCGTCCTTGTATATGGCACCTTAACCTGGGCACTAAGTCAAACTGCGAAAGAGGTTAGATGGTGCTTGCACACGAAGGACTCGAGCAGCACTAAACAAATCAAGGAAAGATCATATCCAACAAAGAAAGAGTTCTCTGGCAACATGCCACTCATCAAATTAATACGCCAACAAAGACTAAGGTGTGCTGTTCTACTTTGGATAGCATCCCATGGAAAAAGAACACAAGGTCAACTAAAGATGTACATTGGCCATCTGACTGAAGACTCGGGATGCAGATTGGATAAGCTTCCAAATGCAATGGACGATAGCAATAGATGGAAACAGCGTGTTATGGAATATCGAGCTTGTTCGACATGATGAACAATCAACTCCATCCATATATAGGTAAATATCAGGACTGATTGGGATTTTGAGTCTTGGTTGGTAACCAGTCTAGAAGAAATACTCTGAATATAAACCAGCCTGGAGAGATTTGAACTCTGTCAGGTTGTCTTGCTCATGAAACATCACTGCTGTTGTGGAGTAGGTGTGGTGTCTCTATGTCTCTGGTTACGGAATTCGTGATCATGATATAAAATCCTATTCAAAAATGCTTAGTCGTAATCTTGGCGTTATAAATTCTACATCTCAGTTGCATATAAAAACGTGATAGAATTTTTGGTACTCAAAATCAAATAAAAAAAGCATCCGTTGAACAATTCCTGATAAGACAAATTTGCAAGGGGCTAAATTGAAAAAAAAAAGAAGACGTAGTTGTTCTACACTTCCCTTGTTCTTCTAAGTGCATAAAATCACTTTCATAACCTTGCGACACTGAAATCCGAAGACGCACTGGGATAGCCAAAGACGATTTCTAAAAACTATGCAGAGTATTAAGATACAGAAAAACACCTTCGTTAGAAATAAAGAAAACAATACTGAAATGTTATGTCATATCTGTTCTCCTATATACCATTGAATGCTGGACAATCAAATTAATTGAAGCAAAAGAAATGTGATTCTACAGAAAGATGCTGAGGATACAATGGACCGAACATATGAACAACAACAATGTTTTAGAGAAAATGTGATCAAAAAGGAAATTTATATTTAACACCAGGAAGAAACAGTTGAAGTTTCTGGGGCACATCATAAGGAAGGAGGGATTGGAAAATCTAATACTCACAAGACTGATTAAAGGCAACAGTGACAGAGGAAAATAACGCACAATAAACTTAATGAGCTTGAGTAAATGGAAAGCGGAACTGGGTTTAGGAGAAATAACGAAAAGACAAAATTAATTAGGAACAACAAAGGACAGGAAGTCGTGGAGTGCCATGATCTCATAGTCAATCCGAAAACCAGTCATTTCTTCCTTCATCGTATTTGACTAACTGGTTCACAATTTTTTGAGATGCCCAATTTCAGGTTCATTTTGAGACTATAATAAACATAAGGATATAATGTCTTATTCATTCTAAGGCCAGTCATCATTGACGTAACAAGTCTTCCCAGTAGGCCAGAGACCGGTACGACATTTGTGCCATATAATTATATAATGACGATCCGAGTAAATATTATTTGAACATTCGTAAGATTACTCATTTATACCAGATAGAGTATGAATTACCTCACATGCATATCCAAGCTTATTCCCAAGTTGTCACTCTTCTAGGTACTGACCAGGCTCGACGTTGCTTAACTTCGGTGATTCTACGGGAGCCGATCTTTTAACGTGAAACGTTCCACCGTGAAAAAGGGGTGAAGAGTAATATATTACAGTGCAATCGCTTTTGAACTATATTGAGGCTGATGAACAGCCCAGGCTCATATGTGGCGGCAATACGCCATTGTTGTTCTGATTTGGATTTTGTTGAGATAGAGTTTGGGAGGCGGGGTGGTCACGTTCTTTCTGGTGCGGTACAGGAAGCTGATAAATTTTTGCAGCGATTTTAGCGATGGCTCGTTCTATTTGAGATCTAGTCTTGAATGTATATCGAGTCCCGTCAGGCATTCAATTTAAGGGAGCCTCATTGGGAGTACAAGCTTTCATTGTAACCGGGACTTGTAATTTGGAAGAGAAATAAATGTACTTAATTTTGATGCCAGTTTCATTATATCATTTAGTATAATTTAGTATAAAACTTGACTTACACGCTTATTCTAGATATTAATCAAAAGCCGTAGCACTAAATGATCACTATGTTGAAAAATACTAATCTTGAAGAGAGAGAAAAATGATTGAATTTTCATATCAGTTTCATTATTTTATCTGGATTAAAACTTGTTTTATGGATTGGGAATCGATCCATTCCAATAGCATTAAGTGGTGATTATGTTGAAAAATGAACTTGTAGTTTTGGAAAAAATACATTTACCTAATTTTGATATCAATGTCATCATTCTATTCTTGTCTAAACCTTGTTTTATAAGAGCGGTGATAAGATAAGCACATCAGATCTCTCCTTTCACTTGCAACCATCACAATAAAATAAATGTTTTTCAGCCCTAAAGTCAAATAAAGCTTCTTCATAAGCTTTTACTTAGAGTTGTTGCTATATTACAATAAAGTTGAACTACTTATCAATTAACACCTGTAATTCTAAATGGTGGCTATTGTATTTTCTTGTGCATAATAAGAGAAATCTTGAACGAAAATCAAAAACAAAAAGGTAGGCGTTGTACTATAAACAAATGCACATTTTTCAGAAATTTTTACTCAGCTTAAAAAAACGACACTATTTACATAGTTCGGACTATCATCCTCATCTTTATTGCCATATTTATCACAACGTTTTGGCCGATGTACGCTCTGGCCTTCTTCAGGTGGTTGGAATGTGGAACTGAACACATTATTTCGCTCGCTGGGGTAGACTGTTCTAGTTCCACGTGCCATGTCAGTCATAAGTTATCTCCTGTTAATTCCCTTCTCCAAGTTCTCCACCGCCACCGCCTTAAGCAGTTATTGAACACACACTCTTTTGGGTCCTGTCACTGGATCTAACTAACGCCTTTATCCACTGTGCCATGTGTCATTGAGGACATATGGGTATGAATTTCTGGGTATTTTCAACCTAATATCGTCAGCAACCACTTCTTTACCAGTGCTCATATTACATTTTTTGCTGTTATCATTGCATGCTTTTTTTTTTACCAGAGCTCATGTTGCAATTTTCGTTGTTATTGCTTTTCTGTGGCACTCCTTATTACTGGTTCCCATATTGCATTCATTTCTATGGTTGGTCGGCTCAGGAGATTTTTGTGACCTAGCATACGTGCTGATTCCTTAAGTTTAAAAAACAACATGTTTCAAACAACAAGATTGCAAGTGATTACTGTAAACCGAATGAAAGACTTCCGCTTTCGTCACTCTATGGGGTGACGTCAGTAAACAGCCGTCACGTGAAGCACGTGATTTATCTCATCAAAAGGGAGATAATTGTCATTTGTATCCCTGCAACACTAAAACGATTGGTTCAGTTTAAAATGGCATTATTTAGAGTATTTTAACCACCTTCAGAATTCGTTTACATCGATCAGTCATTAATATTCATTGAGGTTGTGGAAGGCTGTGTGTATTCGCGCAAACGTGGAATAGCCATTCTATCCGCTTTCAGTATTGACCGTAGCGTAATTTTGATAAAATAGACGATTTTCCTTTTTATTACTTTTCACCCAATACAAGATGCAAGAGCCACCAAGGTAGAGGACTACTGAATGAGATTGTTGCCCAGAAATCAAAGCAGCGGAATTCTTGCTTGAGTCAGAAACATCATGGTGGGGGGTCAAAGGCTAATCGGGCATGTCCCCAAGTGTAATTAGATTCACCCACACTGTGTGTATCAGTACAGTGACAATTGTAAACCTCAATTTAATTATCTATATATCTACAGTAAATTTGCATCCAGGTTCATACAACATTTTACCATTCTTGACAGATCTTGTTATCCCAATGTAGGATATTTAATAACAATGGTGATGGAAACAAAAAGAAAAAGAAAGAGAGAGAAAAAGAATATATATGAAATCGGCTAGATTATATACCCAAAATACACACACACACAAAAATTAAATTTGAAATTCCCAGCGTCTCTCGTTAGTGCGCATGTGTAGTCGAAGTAAAATAAACCATTTTAGTCCAGTGAAGTCATAAACGACGATCTTTTCCATTTTCTTATACATCTTGCCTCCTAATTGTTCTTGATATATAAAAAATTATACATCGTTATCCCATATACATGTCTATATGACGGGGAACCTCGGCATGGTGTAATGTTTAGCAGGCTTGTCTCTCTAGAACAATTCCAACTGAGTAGTGAGTTCGTTCTTCACTGGATGCTCCATACTTTCGACCTTGTGCCACAACTAAGCTACGCTTAGAAAATATATATATATATATATATATATATATATATATATATATATATATATCGTTTTTATACATGCGAATTAGTGTACGTATCTACTACATTCAATTAGTTTCTAATAACCTTGGTAAAGGTATGAATCCTCTTCTTCCCCCCCCCTAGTTATGTGTAAATTGCAGTACAGACCGGGTTTTGTTGCCTTGGATGGCAACTGGTCTACCGCAGAAAGAAATGGCAACCTACTGCGGAAAAAAAATTCTGCTTCGTCAGTCATGTATCGAAAGATACATGATCGCCTAAGCGTGTATCACGTATGGCACATAACTGACTGATCCACGAGTGTGTGTACTTGTATGTATAAAGCTATATTTTTACCTCTGTACGAATATCGTATCAAGGAATATGCGCGTGCGAGTGTGTGTGCGTGTGTGCTTGTGCGTGCTTTTCTTTCCATTCGGGCGCGTACGCCTATCTCTATCCGATTGTGTCCAAAGGTCGAGCAGTGAGCGTCGTGTCCACCATAGCTTCGCCACAGAGTTCAAATCTA